GGATGAATAGCGTCACATTACACAAGTAGCTTGGTGGATGTAGCTGGATGGATGACGTCAGCTTAACACCTTACGCAAGCGGCTGACGGTATTATTATAGCTTCCGTAGTCTGAGATAATAATCATTGATCATTTCGTCAGGAAGAAATATATTTTGGAATATCTAACGTGGATTTAATTCGTTGTTTTACGAAACTTGTTGGGTTTTTTCTTATTTGTTTTGTCCTTTCATGTTTAATATTAGTGCGTGTCTGGGTGTTTTTCAGTAGTGGATTGACTGTCACGTACAGGTCACGGAGCGCTAGAACAGAAGACGCTCACGCAGGCTGACACGCACTCAAGTTGACACTCACGCAAGCGCCCAGATCCATCTAAATACTCACACAAAGCTAAGACATAAACACACGAGTACCCCACACACACTTGCAACTGAGAGACCTTAGTTACAAGGAAACGCTGAGACAAATTAAACTCCACGCTGCAAAAAACAGGGAAGAGGTGACGTGGTCACGACATATAAGATTAATAGAATCACTCGGCAAATGATTGCAACAATGAGAACAAGCTGGAAAAATCAGGCTTTAGGCAGATATAGAGAAGCACAATAGTTTGAAAACAGGTTTGTGAACGAGGATTATAAGTTACCAACAAGGATTAACGAGACACTTTATCAGGTCACAAAAATTGGCATTTATTAAGCAAAAATTATACATTACACATGTTCCATGAGAACGTGTATAATGATTTATTAATTTTTTGATTTATTAAATACTCTTGTAAGCCTGATCCGTGCACCGGTTCTTGGTGACCATTACAACTGTTGTCCGGTGACTGGCGAGCGAGACGGAAGACAGAGTGACCTTGTTTAAATTCAGTTGGAGGCCAGAATGGTTGTGTTCATTGCATTTGTGAGTGGCAGCAGTCAGCAGAGACCGCTTTTGTGTCGGGAGGCTCCTGGCACGCACTCATATAACGCACGCACGCACGCACTAGTATGTGTGTGTGTGCTCCGGGGTCGTAGCTCAAAGGGGCCCGGGTTCGATTCCCGGCCGATTTAGAAACAAAATGTGCAGTTTCTTTCACCTAGAGGGCCGACCAGGGAGCCGGTCGGCCGAGCGGACAACACACTGGACTTGTGATCCTGTGGTCCTGGGTTCGATCCCAGGCGCCGGCGAGAAACAATGGGCAGAGTTTCTTTAACCCTATGCCCCTGTTACCTAGCAGTAAAATAGGTACCTGGGTGTTAGTCAGCTGTCACGGGCTGCTTCCTGGGGGTGGAGGCCTGGTCGAGGACCGGTTCGCGGGGACACTAAAAGCCCCGAAATCATCTCAAGATAGATATGATAGAGCCCAATAAGCTCAGTAACCTGTATACCAATTGAGAGGCGGGACCAAAGAGCCAAAGCTCAACCCCCTACAAGCACAACTAGGGGAACACACACACACACAAGACCCCGGCCTCTAAACATTACAGATAACGTCGCAGGTCAAACGAGGCAGAAAGATTCTAAGGACACTTTATCTGCAGTAAATGTCAGCGGCCATTTTGTCCGGAGAATGTTATTGTTTGAGGAGCTGTGTAAGTGTACTAGTGTCAAATTTACACCTGTGTAAATCTCTACACCTGTGTGAATCTAAAATTTACACCTGTCAGATTTACACAGGTGTATGACACTAGTATACATTTTCGTGAACCTGAAGTGTAAGCAACCACTGACCTTTGTAAATACGACAAATATGACACCCAAACGTTACGACCCAGAGGGTAAAAAATGATTACCAGGATCAGGAAAAAATTCCATCAGCAACAGCCTGTTAGATCCAAGTTCGACTGCTTGTTTATGGAAAGATTATTGTGGTGCAAACAGTCATGTCGTTCCCTTTGTTTACTTTTCAATTAGAAAAAAACGAAGTTCTTTCCCTTCTGTAAATTGTTTGTCTGTCATTTAATTCTTCTTCGTTATATCGCATTCTGCAGTAATAGTTTATTTTGTAATTATTTTGTCTGGAAGGTTATTTTATTTGTGGTATTTGTGATAGCTAGGATTCGAACCTGCGTCCGGGAGCATCCCAGACACTGCCTTAATCGACTGAGCTACGAGAGTCGATTAATGCAGTGTCTGGGATGCTCCCGGGCGCAGGTTCGAATCCTCGTCACGGCCCTTGTGGATTTATTCATGTGATAGCTAGCTTTCAACCCGTTGTTCCTGTGCATTATAGACATTGGAACTCGTTTAAACTATATGTTTGGTACTACAGTATCCTGAGCTAGGTACCGCACTATCCCAATTAGATACCAATTTATCCCAGTATCCAAACTAGAGACCACAGTATCCTAATTACACACCGATGTATTTCTATAATGTATCGCAGGATCCCAGTCAGTTACAGCCACATCCATGTGTAGCAATATATATATATATATATTTGCTCATTAAACACTATAACAGTCATTATCAAAGACACTTCCGTCAAAATGTGGACTACTAATTAAGCTCTAATTAACGTCTGAACAGCGTTGCATCAAAGGAAAAACTTTTATATCAGTGTTGAGTGTGACTATATTTTGACTGCAACATAATACACACACATAGCACGCTGCTTGCAAGAAACTTTGTATTTGAGTAACGCTTCTGATATCAAAACACAGCAGAGAGGTTTGCTATGATCGTGTGTCTGGAATATGGTATTTTTCCCCAGGAGAGCCGTGAATCAGGGCACAGGTAACCTGCCTTTGTGAGGAGAAGCCCTACAGGAGAGCGTGTAGGAGCCGCATCTCCTGCATCAAGTTATATTAGTCTCAACCAAGATGAGACGTTGGAGAAAAGAGACTGTCTCTCATGTCTCTTCACGTTTGGTGGAAGACACGGCTGTTGTAGGTCATATATATCGACAATATAGTCATATATCGACTTATATATATAGTCATATATCGACTTATATATATAGTCATATATCGACTTATATATATAGTCATATATCGACTTATATATATAGTCATATATCGACTTATATATATAGTCATATATCGACTTATATATAGTCATATATCGACTTATATATAGTCATATATCGACTTATATAGTCATATATCGACTTATATATAGTCATATATCGACTTATATATAGTCATATATCGACTTATATATAGTCATATATCGACTTATATATAGTCATATATCGACTTATATATAGTCATATATCGACTTATATATAGTCATATATCGACTTATATATAGTCATATATCGACTTATATATAGTCATATATCGACTTATATATAGTCATATATCGACTTATATATAGTCATATATCGACTTATATATAGTCATATATCGACTTATAACCACAAGTTATACCTTGTGGTTATAAGTCGATATAACTTGTTTATATTAAGTTGCCTTGTTTATATTAAGAGATACGTACCTCTCTTGTTTCTGTTCTAGAGCATAATTTAGAGCCTTCAAGGAGGTCCAAATAATTCAAATGCCTTACGTCTGACCCACATTTCCTGTGGTCAGTAAGCTGTATGTTTTCTAGCTCATCTGCCTTACGAAACTTGCTGGTTGATTTATGAAACAAATTACCTGGTAATACAAGTGGGATTGTTTCAAGCGTAGTGTAGACATGCATATGAATGAGTTTGGGTGGATATAAATAGGAACTGCCTTGTATTGGCCAATTCGGCAGTTCGTTGACTCTCACGTAGCAAATTTTAAATCACATGGTATATTTTTGTAAATCAAATTGTTTATTTTTTGTAAATCAAATTTTAGATAACGGTATATTTTTGTAAATCAAATTTATAATCATATGGTTTATTTTTGTAAATTAAATTTATAATCATATGGTTATTTTTGTAAATCAAATTTATAATCATATGGTTTATTTTTGTAAATCAAATTTATAATCATATGGTTATTTTTGTAAATCAAATTTATAATCATATGGTTTATTTTTGTAAATCAAATTTATAATCATATGGTTTATTTTTGTAAATCAAATTTATAATCATATAGTTTATTTTTGTAAATCAATTTTATAATCATATTGTTTATTTTTATAAATCAAATTTATAATCTTATGGTTATTTTTGTAAATCAAATTTTAAATCACATGGTTATGCTTCTTTTCACTGTTGATGGTAATTGAAAAATCAATTCTCCAAAATTCATTTTTATTTCTAGTCTGACGCGACACTTGAACGCGTTGAATCACGTGGTATCTGTTATTTGGATTGAGGAAGTAGGTACTCAAGAGTACCCGGCCTTGGACCTACATCTCAACACTGTTCTGACAGGTTACCTTGCAACCGTCTTGGTATTCTCAGCCTGTGTACGGTACTGCTACTTATTCATGTTGCAGCTTCTGCAAGTGGTACACACATGCTCCGAAGCTTATAGAGACCAGGAAGTGTCTCTCTTTCCTCCTCTCTCTCTCAGGAACCTATAAATCTCACCATCTTGACTACCATCATCTTCCCTCTTGCAAGATATAAATCAGAAGTTTGCAATGTCGTCTTGCTATACATTTGTGAGCAATAAACTTGTAAAATTAACGCCTTGTGTCTTCCTCTTGTTTGGTACAAATTGTGTCGGTCGATTGGGCTACAAATTGAATGTATTAGGATAATAATGCTAATAATAGTATTAGCTAATAATACTGAAGCGTCGCCCAAGTGTTAATTTATTGTGAGCGACGTTATTGTCTGTTATGTGCGAGAGTTGTCCACAAGGCGGAGCCTCGATACAATTTGTTAAATTATTTTGCTAATTGTAATCACTGGACTGTTGATGACAATAAGAAAGCTGCAACGTATTAGTGATGTGTTGAATGACACGTTCCCGCTGTTGCAAGGGTACAGCACTGGCTGACTGTGGCGTCTGATGTTGCAAAGGAACAGCGTTAGCTGACTGTGGCGTCTGCTGTTACTGGCTCCAACATCGTCTATAGGACCTAGACTCGACATTACTGGCAGTCTCGACGAGCAAGATCGAGATATCAAGATATATTGATATCTTGCAAGATCGAGATATCTTGATATACGATCTCTATCAAGATATTCAGAAGTATCCTAGCGCGCCAAAACACCTCGACGCCCCAGTTGCTGTCATCGTCACTGCTGCCAGTTTCATATCCCTCGTCACGGCTAATGTAGTCGTCATCATCCTCCTCACTGTCATCATCATCCTCACTTTCATCATCATCCTCACTGTCATCATCCTCCTCACTGTCATCATCATCCTCACTTTCATTATCATCCTCACTGCTGTCACCATTTTCATAGACGTCACCATTCCCATAGACGTCACCATTCCCATAGACGTCACCATTTTCATAGACGTCGCCATTTTCATAGACGTCACCATTTTCATAGACGTCACCATTTTCATAGACGTCACCGTTTTCATAGACGTCACCGTTTTCATAGACGTCACCATTCTCATAGACGTCACCATTTTCATAGACGTCACCATTTTCATAGACGTCACCGTTTTCATAGACGTCACCGTTTTCATAGACGTCACCATTCTCATCGACGTCACCATTCTCATCGACGTCACCATTCTCATCGACGTCACCATTCTCATAGACGTCACTATTCTCACAGACGTCACCATTCTCATAGACGTCACCATTTTCATAGACGTCGCCATTATCATAGACGTCGCCATTCTCATAGACGTCGCCATTTTCATAGACGTCGCCATTCTCATTGACGTCACCATTTTCATTGACGTCACCATTCCCATAGACGTCACCATCCTCATAGACGTTACCATTCTCATAGACGTCACCATTCTCACAGACGTCACCATTCTCACAGACGTCACCATTCTCACAGACGTCACCATTATCACTGACGTCACCATTCTCATAGACGTCGATATTTTCATAGACGTCGACATTTTCATAGACGTCGCCATTCTCATAGACGTCACCATTTTCATTGACGTCACCATTTTCATTGACGTCACCATTTTCATTGACGTCACCATCCTCATAGACGTCACCATTCTCATAGACGTCACCATCCTCATAGACGTCACCATTCTCATAGACGTCACCATTTTCATAGACGTCACCATTTTCATAGACGTCACCATCCTCATAGACGTCACCATTTTCATTGACGTCACCATTCTCATTGACGTCACCATCCTCATAGACGTCACCATCCTCATAGACGTCACCATTCTCATAGACGTCACCATTCTCATAGACGTCACCATTTTCATTGACGTCACCATCCTCATAGACGTCACCATTCTCACAGACGTCACTCATAGCATCTTCATAGTTGTCACTATCATCATAGTCGTCACCATTCTTATAGACGTCACTCATAGCATCTTCATAGTTGTCACTATCATCATAGTCGTCACCATCCTTACTGTCGTCACTATCCTCTTCGATGTCACGAATCTCATAGTTGCCACCATCCTCATAGTTGCCACCAACATCATCGGCGTCACTATCATCATCGTCGTCACTATCATCATTGTCGTCACTGTTGTCCAGAATGTGGATGACATCATGTGGATGAGCTTGTATCAAGGATTCATCAGCATCAAAGTCAACTTCCGTCTCTCTCATCACCTGTAGATCAATTGTAATTTAATATAAGAATTATATATATATATATGATTTATAAAAAATTAAGTGTCATAAAACTAAGAATATATTCACTTAATATAACGAGACTTGTGCAGATCATATTATAATATGAAATGGTAATGAATGCCAGCTGCCTGCACAGCATATTTCATGAAGTTATACCTACGTCCGAGAGCATCCCAGACGCTGCCTTAATGGACTGAGCTACGACATGGTATAAGAATTGCAACCAGAAATTCTACTGAATTTACTTGGATCCTACAGCCTCTCCGAGACACAAACCAGGGTTTTACACAACTCCCCCCATGCACTCGAGCTGTGTCAATAGGCCGTTCTACCTCTTCGCCCTTAAGTCATTACACACAGAAATCACAATAGCGTGATGCATCAAATGAACAAATCCACAAGAGCTTAGTCGATTAAGGCAGCGTCTGGGATGCTATGGTTCGAACCCTCGTCACGGCCCTTGTGGATTTGTTCATTTGATGTATCACGCCATTGTGATTTCTGTGTGTAAAGAGGGATTAAATGTGTAATAAAAACTTACCTCATATACTGACGAGATGAAGCGCGTCAGAATACAGAGGTGGGAAAACATAGCGAAGATATTACTGAAGAACCATTGCTTGAGCGACGTGAAGAATCTTGCTATTTCCTCAGACATTATCATTGTCTGTATACACTCCTTCGTCTTGCTGTCAAGTGCTCGCTGTCAAGTGCTCACTGGGTTTGTGTTTCGTGTTGTTGTTTCAGATTTAGCTACTCAGAACGAAGTGTCCATGTAGCACGGGCTATGGTGAGCCCGTAATGTGTTTCGTGGCCAATCTCATCTTTTATTTGTATCTTCAGTCACGTGAATTAATTGTGCATTAAGTGAGGTGAGGAGAAAGATTGTCTCAAGCCAAGAATGATGGAAATAGAAACACAAGCAGATGTTACGGCCTTTTTTTGCCTGTGCCACCTCTTGGGTGACTTATTCTTCATGATAAGAACTTAAGAACAAAGGTAACTGCATTACACACAGAAATAATAATTGCGTGATGCATCAAATGAACAAATCCACAAAGGCCGTGACGAGGATTCGAACCAGCGTCCGAGAGCATCCCAGACGCTGCCTTAGAAGGCCAATAGGACTTCTGCAAACTGCAGAAGGCCTATTGGCCCATACAAGGCAGCTTCTATTTAACTACCCAATCCCACTCATATACATGTCCAACCCACGTTTGAAACAATCGAGGGACCCCACCTCCACCACGTTACGCTGTAATTGGTTCCACAAATCAGCAACCCTGTTACCGAACCATTATTTACTCTATCCTAAATCTAAACTTATCCAATTTATACTCATTGTTTCGTGTTCTGTCTTGTGTTGATATTTGTTAATACCCTATCAATATCCCTTTGTTATTCCCATTCATCCACTTTACACCAGTCATGCCACCCTCAATTTTTCGCATTTCTAGAGAATGTAAATTAAGTTATGTCAATCTCTCTTCGTATGAAAGGTTTCTAATTTGCGGTATTGACTTTGTCATCCTACGCTTTCTAATTCCCCAAATTATAAACCTGTCATATGTCCTTCACCTTCTGGTCAACGTGTAGGAAGGTCGTCGGATGGGAGGAAGCGACATTGCAAACTTCTGATTTATATCTTGCAAGAGGGAAGATGATAGAAGTCAAGGTAGGGAGATTTATAGGTTCTTGAGAGTGAGAGAATAGGAAAGCGAGACACTTCCTGGTCTATTAGTGGTTAAAAAGCTTCGGAGCATGTGTGTACCACTCGCAGAAGCTGCAACATGAATAAGAAGCAGTACCGTACACAGGCTGAGAATACCAAGACGGTTGCAAGGTAACCTGCCAGACAAGAGACCGTAACACAGATACCATGTGTGGTCTGGTCGTTGTGCACAATGGACCGAAATGTTCTAAATGAATGGTTCTCGGGGGCACTTGGTGTCAATTGCCGGCTGCAAAGATATTGCAAATAAAATGCAATATATTTCATAGATAACTAGGAACACTTCTATGAAAGAAATGAAATGTATGTTCGGGATGGGGTGCATCTATCGAGGGCTGGGGTGGTTGTTGTTGTGAACTGAGCCACATAAAGGAAACTATTTGGTTAGAATTAAACGAAAAAGCAAATAGTCTTATAATAGGAGTTATATTCAGGGAACCAAACTTAGATAGTATGGAAGCAAAGCATCTATGGGATGAAATATCTAGAGCATTTAAGTCTTGCAGTATTTGTGTCATAGGTGACTTTGATTTTAGTGGAATAAATTGGTTTAACAAAACAAGGAATAATGAAGCAGAAGATTTTCTAGAGTTAATTGACGATTGCTTTCTTACGCAACATTAAGGAACCAACGCGGGAAAATAACATTTTAGATTTAGTCTTAACTAACAGAGAGACACAAATTAATGACATCGAAATAGGGAGCGAGCTAGGGAATAGTGATCACAAACAAATCAGATTTAGCAAAGAATGGAATAGATCTGTAGAAGAAAATTCCGAAAAAAATAGGAGCTGCCTCGTATGGGCCAATAGGCCTTCTGAAGTTACCTTTGTTCTTATGTTCTTACGTCGCCCGGTCATGTATTGTGAGCAATGTTATTGTCTGTCATGTGCTAGTTATTGTACACAATTTTTTAAATTAATTTGTTATTGCATTTATAAATGGAAATAAAATATGTATATAAAAAATCCAATTTATTACATAAATAATATACATTTTATGTTTACTATACAGAATTAATTGAATTAAACAATTCAAACTTTTTTTGAAGTAAAATCTATTTGTTCTTTTACAAATATTTGTACATTTTGTATTGCAACACCTTGATGTATAACCCAACATGCAAGCTGGATCATAATTCGACACTAATTGTAATCACTGGACTGTTGATGACAATAAGAAAACTGCAACGTATCAGTGATGTGCTGAATGACACGTTCCCGCTGTTGCAAGGGAACAACACTGGCTGTGGCGTCTGATGTTGCAAGGGTACAGCGCTGGCTGTGGCGTCTGATGTTGCAAGGGTACAGCGCTGGCTGTGGCGTCTGATGTTGCAAGGGAACAGCACTGGCTGACTGTGGCGTCTGATGTTGCAAGGGTACAGCACTGGCTGACTGTGGCGTCTGATGTTGCAAGGGTACAGCACTGGCTGTGGCGTCTGATGTTGCAAGGGTACAGCACTGGCTGTGGCGTCTGATGTTGCAAGGGTACAGCGCTGGCTGTGGCGTCTGATGTTGCAAGGGTACAGCACTGGCTGTGGCGTCTGATGTTGCAAGGGTACAGCACTGGCTGTGGCGTCTGATGTTGCAAGGGTACAGCGCTGGCTGTGGCGTCTGATGTTGCAAGGGTACAGCGCTGGCTGTGGCGTCTGATGTTGCAAGGGTACAGCGCTGGCTGTGGCGTCTGATGTTGCAAGGGAACAACACTGGCTGTGGCGTCTGATGTTGCAAGGGTACAGCGCTGGCTGTGGCGTCTGATGTTGCAAGGGTACAGCGCTGGCTGTGGCGTCTGATGTTGCAAGGGTACAGCGCTGGCTGTGGCGTCTGATGTTGCAAGGGTACAGCGCTGGCTGTGGCGTCTGATGTTGCAAGGGTACAGCGCTGGCTGTGGCGTCTGATGTTGCAAGGGTACAGCGCTGGCTGTGGCGTCTGATGTTGCAAGGGTACAGCGCTGGCTGTGGCGTCTGATGTTGCAAGGGAACAGCACTGGCTGTGGCGTCTGATGTTGCAAGGGTACAGCGCTGGCTGTGGCGTCTGATGTTGCAAGGGTACAGCGCTGGCTGTGGCGTCTGATGTTGCAAGGGTACAGCGCTGGCTGTGGCGTCTGATGTTGCAAGGGTACAGCGCTGGCTGTGGCGTCTGATGTTGCAAGGGTACAGCGCTGGCTGTGGCGTCTGATGTTGCAAGGGTACAGCGCTGGCTGTGGCGTCTGATGTTGCAAGGGTACAGCGCTGGCTGTGGCGTCTGATGTTGCAAGGGTACAGCGCTGGCTGTGGCGTCTGATGTTGCAAGGGTACAGCGCTGGCTGTGGCGTCTGATGTTGCAAGGGTACAGCGCTGGCTGTGGCGTCTGATGTTGCAAGGGTACAGCGCTGGCTGTGGCGTCTGATGTTGCAAGGGTACAGCGCTGGCTGTGGCGTCTGATGTTGCAAGGGTACAGCGCTGGCTGTGGCGTCTGATGTTGCAAGGGTACAGCGCTGGCTGTGGCGTCTGATGTTGCAAGGGTACAACACTGGCTGTGGCGTCTGATGTTGCAAGGGTACAGCGCTGGCTGTGGCGTCTGATGTTGCAAGGGTACAGCGCTGGCTGTGGCGTCTGATGTTGCAAGGGTACAGCGCTGGCTGTGGCGTCTGATGTTGCAAGGGAACAACACTGGCTGACTGTGGCGTCTGCTGGTACTGACATCGTCTATCCACGCTGAAATCCACGTCTGCCCAACTGCCTTAACGCTGGGATGTCATCGTCACTGTCATTACTGTCAGTTTCATATCCTTCGTCACGGCTAATATCATTGTAGTAAATAACATTGTAGTCATCATCCTCATCGTCGTTACTGTCCTCACGATTCTCATAGACGTCACCATTCTCACAGATGTCACTATTCTCACAATCGTCAAGATTCTCACAGTCGTCACTCATAGCGTCCTCATAGTCGTCACTATCATTGTCGTCATAATCCTGTTCGTCGTCAGCATCCTCATCCATTTTACTGTTCTCACAGTTGCCACGATCCTCATAGTCGTTAGCATCATCATCCTCACAGTCGTCCAGAATGTGGATGACATCATGTGGATGAACTTGTATCAAGGGTTGATCAGCATCAAAGTCAACTTTCGCTTTCACCTGTAGATCAATTGTAATTTAATATAAGAATTATATAAATAAAAAAATAAGTGTCCTTATACGTAATATAACGAGACTTGTGCAGATTATATTATAATATGAAATGATAAGGATAATGCCAGCTGCCTGCACAGCATATTTCATGAAGTTATACTGACAAACACCAAACTCAATTATGATATCAACCTCTCTCCAACTTTAGTCCTTGAAAACAAATTTAACATGAGGAACTGGATAAAGAGGGATTAAATGTGTTATAAAAACTTACCTCATATACTGAGGAGATGAAGCGCGTCAGAATACAGAGGTGGGAAAACATAGCGAAGATATTACTGAAGAACCATTGCTTGAGCGACGTGAAGAATCTTGCTATTTCCTCAGCCATTATCATTGTCTGTATACACTCCTTCGTCTTGCTGTCAAGTGCTCGCTGTCAAGTGCTCGCTGTCAAGTGCTATGAGTTTGTGTTTCGTGGCCAATTTAATCTTTCATTTATATCTTCAGTCACGTGAAGTTAGTGTTCATTAAGTGAGGTGAGGAGAAAGATTCAACTTGGTCTCAAGCCAAGATAGATGGAAATAGAAACATAAGAACATAAGAACAAAGCTAACTGCACAAGGCCTATTGGCCAATAAGAACATAAGAACAAAGGTAACTGGCCCATACGAGGCAGCTCCTATTTATAACCCCCCAATCCCACTCATATACTTGTCCAACCCGCGCTTGAAACAATCGAGGGACCCCACCTCCACCACGTTACGCGGTAATTGGTTCCACAAATCAACAACCCTGTTACCGAACCAGTATTTACCCAAGTCTTTCCTAAATCTAAACTTATCCAATTTATACCCATTGTTTCGTGTTCTGTCTTGTGTTGATATTTTAAATACATAAGAACATAAGAACAAAGGCAACTGCAGAAGGCCTATTGGCCCATACGAGGCAGCTCCTATTTATAACCACCCAATCCCACTCATATCCAACCCATGCTTGAAACAATCGAGGGACCCCACTTCCACAATGTTGCGCGGCAGTTGGTTCCACAAATCAACATCCCTGTTACTGAACCAGTATTTACCCAAATCTTTCCTAAATCTAAACTTATCCAATTTATACCCATTGTTTCGTGTTCTGTCTTGTGTTGATACTTTTAATACCCTATTAATATCCCCTTTGTTATGTCCATTCACCCACTTGTAAACCTCTATCATGTCACCCCTAACTCTTCGCCTTTCCAGTGAATGCAACTTAAGCTTTGTTAATCTTTCTTCATATAAAAGATTTCTAATTTGGGGAATTAACTTAGTCATCCTACGCTGGACACGTTCAAGTGAATTTATATCCATTCTATAATATGGCGACCAAAACTGAACTGCAAAATCTAAATGGGGCCTAACTAGAGCAAGATATAGCTTGAGAACCACACCAGGTGTCTTGTTACTAACGCTGCGATTAATAAATCCCCGTGTCCTATTCGCCTAATTACGAACATTCATGCATTGATCCTTTTGTTTTAAATTTTTACTAATCATAAAACATAAGAACAAAGGTAACTGCAGAAGGCCTATTGGCCCATACGAGGCAGCTCCTATTCTATAACCACCCAATCCCACTCATATACTTGTCCAACCCGTGCTTGAAACAATCGAGGGACCCCACCTCCACAATGAGAACATAAGAACATAAGAACAAAGGTAACTGCAGAAGGCCTATTGGCCCATACGAGGCAGCTCCTATTCTATAACCACCCAATCCCACTCATATACTTGTCCAACCCGTGCTTGAAACAATCGAGGGACCCCACCTCCACAATGTTACGCGGCAATTGGTTCCACAAATCAACAACCCTGTTACTGAACCAGTATTTACCCAAGTCTTTCCTAAATCTAAACTTATCCAATTTATATCCATTGTTTCGTGTTCTGTCCTGTGTTGATACTTTTAATACCCTATTAATATCCCCCCGGTTATGTCCATTCATCCACTTGTAAACCTCTATCATGTCACCCCTAACTCTTCGCCTTTCCAGTGAATGCAACTTAAGCTTTGTTAATCTTTCTTCATATGAAAGATTTCTAATTTGGGGAATTAACTTAGTCATCCTACGCTGGACACGTTCAAGTGAATTTATATCCATTCCATAATATGGCGACCAAAACTGAACTGCATAATCTAAATGGGGCCTAACTAGAGCAAGATATAGCTTGAGAACCACACCAGGTGTCTTGTTACTAACGCTGCGATTAATAAATCCAAGTGTCCGATTTGCCTTATTACGAACATTTATGCATTGATCCTTTTGTTTTAAATTCTTACTAATCATAACTCCCAGATCCCTTTCGCAATCCGACTTCGCAATCACAACACCATCTAGCTCGTATCTTGTAACTCTATCATCATTACCTAACCTCAGAACTTTACATTTATCAGCATTAAACTGCATCTGCCAATCCTTTGACCATTTCAAAACCCTATCTAGATCAACTTGAAGTGATAGTGAGTCCTCCTCCGAATTAATTTCCCTACCGATTTTCGTATCATCGGCAAATTTGCAAATGTTGCTACTCAAACCTGAATCTAACATCACCCCTAACTCTTCGCCTTTCCAGTGAATGCAACTTAAGCTTTGTTAATCTTTCTTCATATGCAAGATTTCTAATTTGGGGAATTAACTTAGTCATCCTACGCTGGACACGTTCAAGTGAATTTATATCCATTCTATAATATGGCGACCAAAACTGAACTGCATAATCTAAATGGGGCCTAACTAGAGCAAGATATAGCTTGAGAACCACACCAGGTGTCTTGTTACTAACGCTGCGATTAATAAATCCAAGTGTCCGATTTGCCTTATTACGAACATTTATGCATTGATCCTTTTGTTTTAAATTCTTACTAATCATAACTCCCAGATCCCTTTCGCAATCCGACTTCGCAATCACAACACCATCTAGCTCGTATCTTGTAACTCTATCATCATTACCTAACCTCAGAACTTTACATTTATCAGCATTAAACTGCATCTGCCAATCCTTTGACC